TAGAGTAATAAACTTCGTGAAAAAGACTACTTTTATTATCGTTGTTCTTGTAACGAAATATAAATTATCATGTATTTTATTAATAATTACTTGATTTTACTCACAATCAAAACTTCCGTTGGAAAGATGTTGTTTAGTTAAAATAAATAAAAAAATCAAAATTTATGAGTGTCTCATTTTCAATTTTTGAATACTAAAGAAATAAGAAAAATACGAGCACAAATTTTAGATGAATAAATCCATCGTCACTCAACTTAACTTTCTGATACATCCCTTAATAATCCAGACTAAGGATATTCAACTTGTATTTGTTTAAATAAAATGAAGATCATTTGAATTTTAAACAATATTCTTGTAGAGTGTTAAACAAGAAACACTTGTTATTCCAAACCATTCAAGTTATTTGGGAGCCCAGGTTTTCTCCAAAGAAACACTTCATGCAAACAGCAAATAGTTTAATAAAGAGAAAAGAAAGATATACTCATGTTATTTATAATTTGTATTAAAAATTTATTTTATCATCATTATTATTAGTTTTGATTTAATATTTTGCTATGAGATAACATAATAACAGGGAAACTATAATAGAATATAACATAATCCATTCACTTATGGAGAGAATTGTGAAGGGAGGGAGGGTAGTAGTTTGTAGCATGTTCAATTTGGATAATAAAGTTTACTACTTTATTTCTTTCAATTTTCCAAGTCTTTTTGTTTCCTTCCTACTGTGTCATGCTACTTTATACAATTTCAACATTTATTGTTTTCTCCTTCATTTTTTTTTTTTCTTTTCTTGCTTCGTCAAATACGGGTCATAGAAATTTCCACATTAATTGCTTGACATAATGTGTGGTTATTGGTTTGTTTGTTTCAAAGTCATACATATAAAGGGGCCATGTCACTTCAAACAAATTTACACATTCATTGATTGATTTATGTTATGCCATAACTCAAGTCTTCTTTTAAGTCTCTCTCCTTGATTAGGGTAGTAGTTTGTATCATGTTGAACTTGGAAAAATAAAGTTTACGACTTTATTATTGCTTTCAATTTTCCAAGCCTTGCAACGTGATGTACGGGGTCAAATAATCTAATGGGTGATCCTTTGCCAAGTCTTTCCAAACTCGTCACTCTTATTTTACACTCAGATTTTTTTTTTTTTCCAAGAAGAAATAAGCATCGCTATTTTAGAAAAATATATTACATTTTTAATCTCATACAAACTTTTCATTTTTACATGTATTTCACCAAGTTTAACAATTTTCTACGTCATACCGCATGACACATTCCACAATGTTACGCCTAGCAACTCTTCATCTCTTTTCTGCTGACTGATCTCAATCAAAGGACTAAGCTCGGTCAAAGGACTGAGTTCGGCCAAAGGCCAACCTAAAAGTTTTTCTTCTTTCTTGAATATTTACTTCACACCAACAACTCAGTCATAGTTCGATAATTTAGTCATCACTAACATGTCATTGTGTTCTTTAACTCAGATCTTCTCTTCACTAACAGCTCTCAGAATAACAACATAGACCTTATCTTCTACAATAGCTCGAACATTATCATGTACAATAGCTTGAACCTTCTCATTCACAATAACTCAGATCATTTTATCCATAATAGCTTAGACATGGTTACTTTGAAATCTATTACTCGGACTTAACTTAGATTTCTCTCTGCACTCAACATTTTTTTGAAGTTCGGTCCTCGTCATACCTTTGCAAACTCTTCCTTCCATGCTCAGCAATCTGAGCACCATGCTCTTCATGTTTTTCTTTAGCTTTACCAATACAATTATTTCTTCCACCTCGGTTTTTGAACTGACTACTACTGGTGGTGTAACAACTCGACCTCCTTTATCATCCTCCAATTCTCCCTAGTTTTACTCTCTCGTTTTATTAACTCAGACATTCGGATCATCATCATAATTATCATCATGAATAAACTCGATAGACCATAAAAATACATGTGACCAAATCCATAATTTTTCTTCAACGTGTCCTCTACATTTAATTTCATACTCCTTTTTTCGAATGGTTCTTAGCTGCAACTTGTACATTCTATTCTTTCTCATCTCTACTTGGACAATCAACCGTCCGTGCTTGTCCTTCAAGTTTAGTATTTGATCTTTCATCCCTCTCGATTACCTAATTCTTCAATCGTCTCCCATTACTATTCCTTCCTCTTGTTTTGAAACTCCCTTCCAATTATTTCCCTTATCTTACTTTATTTTTCAATTTTTCTTTTCTCCCTATATCGTTAACTTTATTTAATCTTCAACTCTATCTTCCAACTCTAATTCTCTACTTTGATACATTTTCAATTTTCAAACTTATATTCTTAACCTCAATATTCTCTCAAACGAATATCTCTTGAGAATATATGTTTTATTATTTTTTATTAAGTATTAAGATATTTTATTATCTTTAAGAAAAAAAAATATAAGAAAATATTACGTTATTATCTTAAATTAGGTAGTTATAATTGAGATAGTGTTAATGTTTGATATTCATTCATATTTTTACTCTTTATATAAATAGAGTATATGAATAAAATATATACTCATATGTGACATATTTCATATATTATAAATACACATGTACAAAACTTTAAATATTTCATTTAGTGGTATTAAGAGTTTTGGTCCTTAAGATAAGAATGGAAGGAGAAGAAAGTTTACTCTAAAATTTCTCATTAGTGGTATTAAGAGCTTTGGTCCTTACATGAAGAATGAAAGAAGAAGAAAGTTTTTCACAAATCTTTATTCTAATTTTCAATATGGCGAAAGTTATGATGACTTATGAGGTGTGAGAATGCAATCTTATCTTAAATGATTGGATTTATGGGAAGTTGTGGAAGAAAATTACATCATTGATCCTTTGTTTGAAAATTCTATCATAGCTCAAATCAAAATCCACACAAAAAAAAAAGAGATCAGGAAGGCAAAAATAAAGTTATGTTTATATTCAGGTATTTCACAGATGATTCTTATCAGAATCATAACTTTAAAGTTACCCAAATAAATTTGGGATTATATGTAAGAAGAATATGAAGTACCAACAAAGAGAAATAAAAAAGTTTTGAAAGAGAAAACTCCAACCATCAATGAGGTCAACATCATTGCTAGGAAACAAGATTTAAAGAAAAAACAAGACTGATAAATGTGATCATAAACTTGAGAAACTAAGATTAAGATGAAACTACAATATGCCAACTCACAAATATTATGCTAAGAAAAAAATTTGTGAGTAGAAATATTATACTAATAAAAAAATTTGTTTGTACGTAATTGCAAAGGAAAAACAAGATATGATCTCTTATAAGAAAGATAATGACAAGCAAAAGAAGAAGAAGAAAAAAAGAAGAATATTGAGAATATATATTTTATTATATTTTATTAAATATTAAGGGATTTTATTATCTTAAAAAAAATATAAAAAGATATTATGTTATTATTTTAAGTTAGGTAGTTATGATTGAAATATTGTTAATATTTGATATATTATGTAATATTTTTACTATAAAATACATAAATAAAATATATATTATGAGATATATTTCATACATCAAATATATATATATATATATATATAAACCCTATAATTTTTATTTTATTTTAATAACCTCATACATACTGAAACATGAAATCATCCCATGACAGACTTCATAGACTCTATTAAATAGAAAACTTCAACAGTTACCAGATTGGAAAAACTTGACTCATAAAAATTTAACAAAAGCTATCTCCGAGGACATTATGGTAAACTCGTATTATAATAATAAATTTCATTGAGTACCCAATAATACACGAAAGAAAAAATGTATCCTTAGTTAATCATAGTTGGCCGCTTGGCCCTACCTAACACTAATGGAAAGAATTCCACTGGTTGAGAGAATTGTGAAGGGAGGGATGGTAGTAGTTTGTATCATGTTCAACTTGGAAAAACTGAAACACGGAAAATATAGTTTACTACTTTATTGCTTTCAATTTTTCAAGTCTTTTTTGTTTCGTTTCTACAAAGTCATGCCACTTTATACAATTTCAACATTCTCTTTTTTTTTTTTTTCTTTTTTTGCTTGCAACGTGATATAGGGGCCAAGTAACTTCATACAAAATTTCCACACTTATTGTTTAACATCATGTGTGATTGGATTCTTTTCCCTGACATTTGGTTGGAAATATATAAGGGGACATGTCACTTTATACAAATTTTCACATCGAGTGATTGATTTATGTAATGCGATGACTGAAGTCGTCTTCGTTTTATTCCAACAAATTCCTATAAGGGAGTATGTTATTTTATAAATAAAAATAAAAATCAACCATATGCTTATTCACACTGCCCTTATCAAAAAACTGTGTGAGTAATTTTTTTATTTTTAAAATTCTCACGTTTAGTGTTTTTTAAGAAATTTCACTGGAAGGAGGTGTCCGTGTGGGTAATAATTGAATGAAAAACTGTCTATTAAAAAAAAATTGTGCATTTTATAAAGAAAATAGTTATCCCAAGGACTTAGCTACTATTTGGATGATTTAAGAATTTATAAAAATAAAAAGTAAAATATTTCTCTTATAGAAAATATATTTTGACACCTGTTCTTATCATATACATCCACTTGTAATGATTGAAAAACACTTTTGTGTTAATTAGTCCTTTTATGGGAGGTACACAAATTTAGTTTTCACATTTTGGATTTAGTTCATATATTAAGAAGCTAAAAAAAGAATACCAGATACTTTTTATTCATTCCAACCCAACCATAGAAGTAATTAAGATTCAAGCCATCATGATTAGTTTCGTAATGGACAAGGCAATCTTCCCTTTCTTTCTTTTAATTTTGTAATTTATATACTTTTGACATTATTTAGTATCAGTTCCAACAAAAAAATAGATTATATATATATATGGGTATGCTAAACTCAGGAATACCAGTCTAGTTTTTAATATCGAGTTCATTCATCCATCACTTTGCCTTTGTCATGATAACCAACACAACATCAATGAGGAATCCAGTTGGTTTCAGGTTGATGATGTTTATGGTGTGTCTGGTGTTGCGGGTTGTTTTTGGTGCAGAGGAAATAAGATGCATACCAGAGGAGAGGGAAGCACTCCTCCAGTTCAAGAGTGCCCTTGTGGATCGCTATGGCATGCTCTCCTCTTGGACCACTCCTCACTGTTGCCAATGGCAGGGGATTCGCTGCAGCAACCTCACCGCCCATGTTCTAAGCCTCCACCTTCATGGAGAAAGGGGTGATTTTGACATCTCTCCACGTTATATCAGCGGAGAGATCCACAAGTCATTGATGGAGTTGCGAGAATTAGAGTATTTGAACCTCAGTTCCAATTCTTTTCCGGACAGTCACATCCCAGAGTTTCTTGGTTCTTTGAGAAACTTGAGATACCTTGATCTGTCATACTCTAATTTTGTTGGAAAAATCCCAAGCCAGTTAGGGTCTCTTTCTCACTTGAAATACTTAAATCTTGCTGGAAATTCTCTGAAGGGTACAATCCCTCGTCAACTTGAAAATCTCTCTCAGTTGCAGTATCTTGATCTTCGGTCCAATTCTTTCGAAGGAAATTTACCATCTCAACTTGGGAACCTTTCAAACTTACAAGAACTCTATCTTGGAAGATATTATCATACTCTCAAAGTTGACGATGGAGGTCAGTGGCTAACAAATCTCTTCTCTTTAACCCACCTTTACATGGAGTCTATTTCAAATCTTAATCATTCTCATAGTTGGTTGCAAGTGATTGCCAAGCTACCAAATTTAAGGGAACTGAGTTTAGTTGATTGTAGCCTTTCCGATCACTTCATTCTGTCATGGAGGCCCTTCAAGTTAAATTTTTCTACTTCTCTCTCGGTCCTTCATCTTTCTGAGAACTCCTTCACCTCACCGATGATATTCCAGTGGGTGTCAAACATCACTTCCAACCTTGTTGAGCTTGACCTTAGTTTTAACCTCTTGGAGGGTTCCACATCAGGTCATTTTGGCACGGTCATGAATTCGCTTAGACACCTTGACCTCTCCTCCAATAGATTCAAGGGTGGGGATATGAAATCCTTCGCCAATATATGCACCTTACATTCTTTAAATTTGATTGCAAACAATTTGACTGAATCTCTCCCATCCATTCTTGGTAATTTGTCTAGTGGTTGTGTTAAACACTCATTACAAGAACTGGATATGAGCTATAATGACATCACTGGCACTTTACCTGACTTGTCAATATTTCCATCTCTTGAAACATTGGTTCTTGATCAAAATAATTTGAATCGAAAGATACCAGAAGGTGTCAGGTTACCATCAAATTTGGAGGTTTTGTCAATCAAGTCAAACTCTTTAGAAGGTGGAATTCCAAAATCATTTGGGAATGCATGTGTTTTGGGCTCACTTGATCTATCTAATAACAATTTAAATGTAAATCTTCCAATGATAATCCATCACTTGTCTGGATGTGCAAGAAACTCGCTAAAAGAATTGAGGTTGGGTGGAAATAAGATCAGCGGTACGTTACTTGATCTCTCAATATTTTCAACCTTGCAAGTGTTGGATCTTTCAAATAATCAATTAAATGGTAAGATACCAGAAGTTATCACGTTACCATCAACTTTGGAAGCTTTGTCCATCAGCTCAAATTCCTTAGAAGGTGGAGTTCCAAAATCATTTGGAAATGCATGTGCTTTGGGCTCACTAGATTTATCTTATAACAATTTGAATATAGATCTTCAAGTGATAATTCATCACTTGTCTGGATGTGCCAGAAACTCGCTACAAAAGTTGAGTTTGGGTGAAAATAACATCAACGGAACATTTCTTGATTTCTCAATATTTTCAACCTTAGAAGTGTTGGATCTTTCAAATAATCAATTAAATGGTAACATACCAGAAGTTGTATGGTTACCAGCAAATTTGGAGGTTTTGTCAATCAGCTCAAACTCATTAGAAGGTGGAGTTCCAAAATCATTTGGGAATGCATGTGCATTGCGCTCACTGGAAATGTCTAATAATCGCTTCAGTGGTGAGTTTCGCACAATAATTCATCACTTGTCGGGATGTGCTAGATATTCATTGGAAGTATTAAATCTAGGCATGAATCAAATCAAAGGTACACTACCTAATCTCTCAACATTCACAACTTTAAAAGAATTATATCTTTATGGAAACAAGCTAAATGGAGATATTCCGAAAGATATTCAATTTCCACCTCACTTGGAAGATCTAGATATGCAATCAAATTTCTTAAAAGGTGTGCTGAGTGAATACCATTTCACTAATATGTCTAATTTAAAGACATTAGAGTTATCCGACAACTCATTGGCCTTGGATTTTATCCAAAACTGGGTCCCTCCTTTTCAGTTGCAGATCATAGGATTGAGATCTTGCAATCTAGGTCCAGCATTTCCCAAATGGTTGCAAACACAAAATGAAATTCACGATATTGACATTTCAAATGCTACCATATCAGATATTGTTCCTGAATGGTTTTGGGCTAAATCACAATTTCAAGTATTGATGAACGTGAATATTTCATACAACAATCTACGAGGGATAATTCCAAATTTTCCACAAAACTATCCTTATTATTTCCTATCTGTTGGATCAAATCAATTTGAAGGCCCTATTCCTCTATTTCTAAGGTATTCTTTGTTTTCCGATTTTTCCAAAAATAAATTCTCGAATCTTCATTCATTTTTATGTGCGAATGCTACAATTCAAATTGTTTACCAATATTACACCTTTCAAATAATCAATTCTCTGGACAAATCCCAGATTGTTGGAACAATTTCAAGTCATTAGCTTATTTAGATTTGAGTCATAATAAATTTTCAGGAAAGATTCCTACTTCAATGGGGTCGCTTCTTGATCTTCAAGCATTGCTGTTGAGAAACAACAGTTTAGTAGGAGAAATCCCTTTCTCATTGAGGAATTGGACAAAGCTAGTAATGCTAGATATGTCAGAAAACAAATTATCAGGGTCCGTCCCTGCCTGGATTGGGACAAAAAAAGAATTGCAAATTTTAAGTTTGGGAGGGAATCGATTCTATGGGAGTTTACCATTACAGATTTGTTGTTTACGAAAGATTCAGCTCTTAGATCTCTCACTAAACAACTTATCTGGAAAAATTCCAAAATGCATAAAAAACTTTACTTCAATGGCTGAAACAACATCTTCAAACAATGGAGATCATCGATATGTTTTCATCCTTGGAGGTTTCTCAAGCCATCAGCTATACTATTTGAATGCATTCTTGACGTGGAAAGGTTCAAAACAACTGTTTGAGAATAAGGGTTTATCACTTCTAATAAGCATTGATCTCTCAAGTAATCATTTTTCAGAAGAAATTCCTGTAGAAATAGAGAAATTATCTGGATTGATTTCATTGAACTTATCAAGAAACAAATTAATTGGAAAAATTCCTTCAAATATTGGAAAGTTAGCATCACTTGAATCTCTTGATTTGTCAAGAAATCAGCTTATTGGTTCAATTCCTCAAACTCTTACTCAAATTTATGGACTTGGTGTGCTTGATTTGTCACATAACTATCTAACCAGACAAATTCCAACCGGGACACAGTTACAGAGTTTCAATAGTTCGAGCTACGAAGATAATCTCGATCTTTGTGGACCACCACTTAAGAAATTGTGTATTGATGGAGGGCGAACGCAAGAACCCAAAGTTGAAGTTGATGAGGAAGAAGATTCATTTTTGAATAATGAATTTTTAATGAGTATGGGATTTGGATTTGTTGTAAGCTTCTGGATGGTGTTTGGCTCAATCTTATTCAAGCGTTCATGGCGACATACCTATTTCCAGTTCTTGAATAATTTAGCAGACAATATTCATGTCAAAGTAACAACACTCTTGGCTAAAATATTGAAGCTGACCTCAAGTTAGCAGGTAATGATTTATAACGTTATATATTCGCATGTTATTTTCAAAAATTGTTATACATTTGAATATCTCTTAAAATCCATGAATAAATAAATTTTGTGCGCAAGGATGTCGAGATTGGGATCAAGTTATGTGGAAACCTAATGTTAGTGTTTTGGGCTTTGCAGTAGTACATGAATTATTTTCAATTGATTGTTAGGTTTTTCCTTTTGTATAACTTATGCTTTTAAACTATTTTTTTTATACTATATTGTGATTGGAGATGGGACTTTTAACATTGGGGAGACCTAACATTCTTTGTATCGTTTTTTCTGAAACAAAACATTTTCAGGCACTCGAAGAGTCCATCCCCTTGAGTGGCTCCAACATTTGAGCTTGTTAATGCTTGGACAAGGAAATAAGTTGGAATTCATTGTGAATCGGGGGATCCTTGTATACTGATTGAATAGATTAGAGTAATAACCTTCGTGAAGAAGACTCTATTTTTATCAGCGTTGTGCTTGTAATGAAATATAAATTTTCATCTATTTTATTAATAATTACTTGTGATGGTGACTCACCATAGGGCTGGCAGCAGGAGTATCCTTTCCTGATTGCCACAAAAGTTCCTCTAGATCCGATGCAATAAGGAAGGGAGTGAAAAAATAAAAAAATAAAAAAAATTGTGGTATTTTTAAATTTAGTTCAAATTTGATAGGATGAAACACAATTTCATAAGGAAGAATTTAAATAAAAATTATAATTAAAAAAAGTAAAATATTATTAAAATAACATAATTTATATCATAAAATTTAAAAAGTACTTAAATTCAATTCGGATCATTAGTTATTCACAAAGTCAAATCCATGAAATTTACGTAAATGATAAATTCATTAAAAAGAAAAAGAAATTGTGGGATAGGAATATTAAGATTTAATAATATGATATATATAGAAAATAAGAAGTTAATTTTAGATAGTACATAAGATAAAATTTACACTACTACAAATAAAGCTTTCAACGTCGGTTTAACAAACGACGTTGTATCAGAGCGACGTTGAAAGTATGATTTTTTAAATTAATAATTTTTATTTATTTACAACCCCTTTTATTTATCTAGAAGTCTCCCCTCTCTTCATATTATATTTTTATTAGGTCTTCCATCTCTTTATATTATATTTTTTAGAAGTTTTTTAATTTTTAAGAGAATTGTCATTGGCAGGATTCGAACCCAAGATCTTTAGAGTTGGAGGCTGATACTCCAACCACTAAACTACTTGAATTTTTTGATAATAACTTACAAATAAATTATATTTATATACAAATAAATATATATCCGTGTACACAAATTCACCTTCCCGCTCACAATTTCACTCCCTCTTTGTGACCTTGTACCAGTGACTATCCACCATTGTTCGAGCTTAATCACCTTCGTCTCTCCAACCCCAATCCTCCACCCTTTTATTCAGCTTCGAAGATCTTTAACCCAACATGCATGACCTGACCTCAAGCTTGAAATCCAACCCAGTGACCTTGAATCTCAAATCTGAGTAACCAAAACACCCAATCAAAACCCAAGCAACTTCGAATCTCAACTCCAGCCTCAACCTCGACGAACTCGAGGCCGAACCCCAACTCTGGCGACATCGAACCCCAATGTCAAGCCAAACCCAATTGTCATGCTGTGAAACCCAACGCAAACCCAGCGGAGCTCGAACCCTAACGCATACCCTAGTGACGTCGAACTCTAACCTCGAGCCAACCCCCACTTTAATTCGGTCGCAATTAGCGATTGATTGATTGCTTAAGGATGTGTAAAAGATGATATATTCAATGTATGTTAAAAAAGTTCAAGCCAAACTATTTTTATAGAAGATTTTCAAAGCTCCTGGTTTAATTAATCTGTTAAAAGATTCTTTTAATCTGTTAAAAGTGCAGTTTTAATCTGTTAAAACTTCTTTTAATCCATTAATACGTTCTTGATTCTTTAACAGATTTGTTTTAACTGATACGACAACGTTTATATCAATTAAAACACTTTACAAAAAATCTTCTAAGTTGATTTAATCGATTGTTTCGCGATTCAATCGATTGAAATACTGCAAAACTTTCTCGTTAAACTTTTCAAGTAATTTTAACTGATAAAAATAAGTTTTAATCGATTAAAATGATGTGCAGAAATTGTTTTAATCGATTGAAACGAGATTTAATCGATTAAAATAGTTCTGATCGGTCATAACTGCATTCTGATCGATCATAATTGAAACAATATAAGAGCGGTTCCTGTGTAACCGCTATCTAAAATGTATTTCGCTTGAGCGACACTTTTCTCGCTCGAGCGAAACGCCCCTGCACAAAATTGGCATTCTCGGGTTGTATTTCGCTTGAGCGACACTACTCTCGCTCGAGCGAAATCAGATTCTGATCGATCATAACTTGAAATGATCGATCATAATTGAGAGGATATAATAGCGGTTCCCTTATAACCGCTATCTAAAGTGTATATTAGATAGCGGTTCCCTTATAACCGCTATCTAAAGTGTATATTAGATAGCGGTTCCCTTAGAACCGCTATCTAAAGTGTATATTAGATAGCGGTTCCCTTATAACCGCTATCTAAATTGTATATTAGATAGCGGTTCCCTTATAACCACTATCTAAAGTGTATATTAAATTTAAGTGAGTTTTTGGCTGAACAACGTCGGTTGTTCCCTGAACCGACGTGGAAAGTGTCAATAAGTAAAAAATAAAAATAAAAAAAAGACTTTCAACGTCGGTTCATATGGGAACCGACTTAGAAAGTACTTTCTACGTCGGTTGACTGAGAACCGACGTAGAATGTGTTTAATATTCAATTTCAACGTCGGTTCATCTGAGAACCGACGTGGAAAGTACTTTCTACGTCGTTTCAGCTATAACCGACGTTAAATAACGACGTAGAAAGTATATTTTGTAGTAGTGTTAGTATATATCTAAGTACAACAAAAATGTAACAAGATTTAAAAAAAATATTTTGGTGACCTAAAACGAAGAAGAAAATAGAACAATATATAACAATATGTTTAGTTTGTCAGTTAAGATAAAACATCTAAAACCAACAAGAATGCTACATATACTTGAGTGAAAATGGGATAGTATAGTGATGAATTTTGTAGTTGGCTTACAACAAACAATTCAAAAATTTGATTTCATATGGATTATCATAGATAAGTTGACAAAGTCTATACACTTCTTACCCATTGATAGAATAAATGAGCCTAATTTTAATCACCCTCTCAATTATATATACTCATTTCAATTCTCAAGGTCAAACTTCCATTTATAATGTCATCAAATCTTCGTAATTAAATATTGTTATTAAAAGAATTAAATATTGTTATTAAAACAATTAAATAATATAAATATAAATCAATGAACAAGGATCAGTGAAGATAAAATAAATATAATAGAACCAATGCGTAATTAAAGATAAAATAAATAGGACCAATGCATAACTAGATATTATTAAAATAGGATAAGTACAAAATTGAAAATAAATAAATATAATGCATGATCAGTACATAATTGAAGATAAAATAAATAGGATTAATGCGTAACTCGGAAATAAATAAATATAAAATAAACCAATGTATAACTATAAATAAATAAAATAAAGAAATAAATATAATTATGTTAGAATAACATCATTCAACAACCATAATTAAAATAAAAGAGATAGAATAATAAATATTTTCTTCCCTATTTTAAGAATGACAGATGATATATCAAAATTTTATAAAATTGACTTATTTTTCGCTCATATTCTCTCTCTTTCTCTCTCCTTCCTCTCTCCCTTATCTTCATATGATCCATCTCCCACTTGAATCCCTTTTATAGTCCATTTTTTTATTTCTTTTTAATTTATTTAATTAAGCCATTAAATACACATGACTTAGGATAAAACTTATATTTTGAGATAAGTTAACTTTATCTTCTTCTTTTACTTTTCTTTTAAAAAAAAGAAAATTAATAATTAATATTTTTCTTCTTTTATTTTTATAAATTAAATAATAATAATAATAATTTATAAATATATATATATATATTATAATAATTTAACCATAATAAAAAATTTATTTTAATTATATATATATATATATATATATATATATATATATATATATATATATATATATATATATATATATATATATATCTTCTTGCCTTTACCTTCTTTGTTAGCATCTCTTCTTTATTATTACCTTTGCACATTATTACTTTGCTCTACATTCTTACATATTTTAAACCATTGTATTGTAATGTTTTAGTCATGACGATTGCACTTAAGCATTTTAACTTCATTTCAGAGATCATTGCTGAAACAGAAAACTGGAACATAGTGATCAAGGTTATCAGAGTTTGGTTTATTTCTGATTTTATTAAACAAAAAATACCATTTTTCATGGAATTTGTTGTACAATACATGCAGGTTGATTTATTAAATTTTTTATATAAAAATATGGATTCTTCTTTCTTTGAATTTGTTTACAAAAATAATTTATAATAATATTCAAAGAGTTAGAATTCACATGCATCGGTTAGGAAAACATTAATTTACAAGTTCCAGTGAGATTAAGGAGAATAATGTGTACTCTTTTCAGAATTTTAGTGTTGCATCTAATGGTGGTTTCTATAAGACCACGCATACAAAATAAATCTTCAGTTTGGGAGTAAGGTACTTAAAAGTGGATAATGCTTTTTGTACATGAAAAAAAAGTACGAAATTATCCCTCTATAGGCAATTAATAGTGCTGGATTTAACAATGGCTACTTAGTAGGTAATTTAATCTCCAATGTTAATTAGTTTTTTAATATAATATTTAAATTTAACACATGTTTTCCAATGTTTTATATATAATGAGTGTACTTACATTTATGAAACTTCATTTGTTTCATAGTTTTATTCTTTATGGTTTACATGCCTTCTTCTTTGACCCATTTAGTTTCAATGTCAATGCGCTTTATTTGGAAAATATGTTGACGAA